TGCCTTCAAGGACAGGTCAGTAACATATTCTGCGAGACGTTGCAAAAATTCAAATGGCAGAGCCGGGCCTGAAGCAAGGAGGTAGGCTCCCAACAAGCAAGGGGCTTCTTTCCTGAGCACACATGCCATCAGGCTGCTTTCACCATGCACTTGGCACATGTCATTCCAACACCTTAAAACTGAAAACCATTTCTACTTTCAGAACTTTGATCGCTATATAGGATGACCCTCATTAAATACTTATCTTTGAATTCCTACTGCAGAAAAAGCTTCATAAATAGAACTAAGTGAATTACTTGTATTTGTCCTTCTTTGTAGACCACTGCAAAGGATAGGTTTCAGTTTTACATTAGGTTTTAATATACATGTAAAATGTGTTAAAATAGAATACACAATTAAAATGATCAACACACTGACTTGAAAAACCAATTACGGTTTATTACTTTACCTTCACAGCAAACTTTGCTTCAAAAATTAAGATACTCTGACTTTTCTCATTCTAAGGTCAAATTAAAAAGTCTGCATAATGTATCAATTAGTATTTTCAGTTAAATAAAATAAAAGTTACTTTATTTGGCAACTTCTTGAAGCATAATAAAATATTTTATAGAGTACTGGGAGTAATTTTTAATAATTTTACCTGCAAATTTATATGCAAGTATCACTTGGATGACATCAGGAATTACAGTGACCCACAATCATGATTGTTTTTATACATTATTGAAATTTCATAATGTATAAATGTTTCACACCTTAGCGACGCTCATGACAGAGGTGGACTGCCAGTAGTAGGTAATTCCTGCTTCCTTAAAGTCAGTACCAGCCCTTCCACACCCTACCAGACACTCAATTCATAAATGCTTAAGACATCTTTGTACCCTAAAATATAAATTAGGCAAATGAATGACAGTAGTATATTCCCAACCTATATATACATCTATACTTCATAAAGGCCCTTTCTTTGAAAATGACAATAAAACCACCCCAAATAAAAACAACAAATGCGGTCTTTATTGCTGAAATTAAATCCCAAAGAGGCAGATTGTTCTGAATGACAGGTAAGTTTGCATTTTCCAAGCCACAGGAACAGCATTGTCTCCTACAGTCACTATTTTGTTAGGTGAAGTTACGTTTCAAGTTCAAATGAGGGTCTAGTAAATGATAATCTTTTTTTTCCACTTGAATTGTTTTGAATTGTAAAAATCACAATTTGATGAATAATGGAACTTAGTCTGAAACTCCATAAAATCATATCCTTTTATCTTCCTTTAACAAATGCCATTATCTACAATGTTAGGTACTCAATGAATAAGAAAAATAAATTTGAATAAAAGCACTACTGTACTTTCTTGCCGATACTTCCTTGGCAGTTTTGCCAAATCAGACCTTTTTGGACATATGATTATGCTACAAATGTAAAAATTTATATAATGGCTTCATTTTTCTCAGTAATGATGTTACCAAAAAATTGGCATATTTATGTCAACTGAGTTGCATAGGAAAACATATTGATTTCAAACTGAACTTATAATTTTCTATACCCAAAACATCCATCTCTTTAATAAGTGTGTTTTATAGTGTCATCCAGAAATCTTTTTCTTTTCCTTTTTTAAGACAGGGTCTCACTTTGTAGCAGAGGCTGGCCTGGAACTCACTACATAACCCAGGCTGGTGATCTTCCTGCCTCAGCCTCCTCGACTGCTGACATTGAAGGCATGTACCACCACAATGGACTCAGAAAGCTTTTGAATTTCACGTTTAGTTCAATTTATAATCCGTCTTGAGGTAACTGTTTTACACAGTACAAATATACACCAGGATTTTTTTTCTCATGTTAATAGCCACTTACTTTTCCAACAAAATTTCTTCAGAAATCTTATCCTTTCGGGGCCAGCCAAATAGCTCAGTGGATTAAAGTACCTGCAGCAGGCACAGGGGCCAGGGGTTCAATCCTCAGGCCTGCAGTGCCAGTCCAGCCCCTGGGGGAGCACTGAGATGTCAACTGAGCCTGGGTGTGGTGGCACGCATCTGTAATCCCAGCTTTTGGGAGGCTGTAAACAGGCGGATCACTACGTCAGATCTAGTAGTAAGACCCTGAACACCCTACAGACCCTTCCCTAAAATAAAAATAAATAAATAAATAAATAAATAAATAAATAAATAAATAAAAAAGAAGTCTATCCTTTCTCCACTGAATTGCCTTTACATGTTTGCCAAAACTCAGTTGATCATATACCTGTATGAGATTATGAGATTGGGGTGAGCGGGCTGTATTGTTCTACATCAGTTCATGCTCTTTTGTGGCCTTCAGTGAAGTTTCAGCTTGGGAGGCTAAAAACAGGAAGATCACTATGAGTCCAATCTATGTAGTGAGATCCTGTACACCCAGTACTAAATACATTTAAAAAAGAACCTTCCAACCTCATACTCATTGTTATGGTTTGTGTCTAGTTGTCCCCACAAAGCTTCATGCAGTCATGGGGTGAGGACTTCTAGAGTTTGTGTTCTTTCATGATCCACTGGGATTATGTGTGATCCAAGGCTGGGATTATGGGTCTTAGTACTGCTGGGATTACCCATAGGTGGGTAAGTACTGGGAAGTACCCATAGGTGTGAGTCCTTCCCCTACCCTGGGGCAGGTAATTTGCATTACAATGTAAGGTGGGGGAGAGACTAGCTGCTTGAGCTGCTGCTACCTCTCCTTTGCACTCTTGCTCTTTGCCGCAGCCATGAAAGCTTGCTTTCTGCTCTGTGCTGCTCCGCGTTGGACCCAGCTGAGTATGGACTGAAACCTCCAGTAACTGTGAGCTAAATAAACCTTTCCTTCCTTCATTTTGAGTGTCGGGTATTTGTCCCAGCAACGAAAGAAGAGTAACTAAGACACTCATGGTGTACAGTTACAGAATGTCTTACATTTTGCTTGAATCAATTATCTTTGAAATAGCAATTAAATTTTTCAATCCTCCATTCCTTTCCATCATTGCCAGTTTCCATCTGCTATCATGTTACGCCTAAGACATTAACATTTCCTGTAGTTCATTCCACTGGTAGTGAACTTTTTCAGCTTTCCTAGGTCTGAAAAGACTTACTACATTTTTGTTTCTATAACACATTTTCACTAGATACAGATTCTAAACAGATTTTTGTTTCAGTACTTTAAACATACTGATGCAGATCCCCAGTTCACAGGAACTAGTACCAACAATCAACACATGGGATCATAGCAAACTAAAAGGCTTTTGCACAGCAAAGCAAACCGCTAACAAAAGACAACTTACAGAAAGGGAAAATAAATTAGCAGCTATTCCTCAAGAGGACTAATATCTACACTGAAAAAAACTCCAAGAAATCAGACACCTCAAAATAAGACCCAATTAAAATATGGGCAAGTAAAATGAATAAGCACTTCACAGAAATACAAAATGGCCAAAACATGGGAAAATGTTCAGTATCGCTGGCTTTTAGAGAAATGCAGATAATAATAAGATTCTATCTTAACCCAGAAAGCTACATGGCAATCATCCAGAAATCAAGTAATCAACAAATCCTGGCAAGACTGTGAGGGAAAAAGGAACCCTTTTATGTTGCTGGTAGGGACATAAACTAGTACAACCACTATGGAAATCAGCAATCTTCAAAATAAAGACTACAGCAGGGCACCTGTGGTACACACCTATAATCCTAGGCACTCAGAAGGCTGAAGCAGGAGGATCACCGGGAGTTTGAGGCCAGCCTGCTGAACTGCATGGTGAGATCACCTCAAAAAAAAAAAAAAAAAAAGAAAAAAAAACCCAGGTAATAAAATAGTGACTAGAAATTCCATCTGATCCAACTATGCCCTTCCAGGTATCTTCCCAAGAGTTAAAGATATCATATTAGAGATACATGCATAAGCATGTAGAACAGCATGATTCGTAAAAGCTACATCTTGGAAGTAGTCTATATATCTATCAGTGACGAATGGATATAGAAAATGTGCTGTTAACACACAATGGAACACTACTCTTGTCATAAAGAAAGATAAGCTTAAACAATTTTTAGGAAAATGGATGCACCTTGAGACCACAAGCTTAAATATTGTATGCTTCTCATATGACACACTAAAACACAAATAAAGTGCAAAATAAAACATAACAAATAGGGGGCTCTTCCTCCAATGGAAAGAGGATCGAGCTGGGGGATGGGGAGAAAGAATGGAAGAAAAATTAAGATGTGCTATGTACCTGTACCAACCCTACAGTACCCTCATCTTTGTCTTCTGTGTCTTCTCTTCAACCTGTTTCAGGACTTTTTCTCTCGGTGCTAGTTTTAAATACTCTGATGTAATTTTGTTTCCTGCATTCTCAGTGCACTGAATTCCTTGTGTCTCATTTCTTTCCCTCTCTCAAGGTTCACTGGCTAAGGTCCAAAATCTGACGACTCTTTCTCAGTTTGCCTGTCCTATTATTGCCATTTCATCTTTAATTTACAGTGAAAAAGTAAGTTCAATCCCTATTATCCCATTTTGGCACAGGCAAAATTTTGTTTTAATCTCTTATTTATTAAATATAAAATTTCTGTATCTTATATTTAAGCTTTTAAATCCATGACAAGTTTTTCATCTATACACATAAACTTCGAAAATTAATGCTTATCCCTCTTCTGTTAATAAACATTATATGTATGGATAGGAAAAGGCAAGAGGCAAATATTAATAGATTTAAATATAGCAGGCAGGCGAAACACACTAATGTTGCATTACATCTTCCAAACCTGTTTGACCAGTGATACATAAGGAAACTTGGTACAAGTCATAAAGCTCTGATAACCTGGTAGGAAAAGATCACTTTAACACCTCCATACATTTTAATTCTTTTTTCTTTTTTTGTGGAAACAGGGATTGAACTCAGACCCTTGCACTTGCCTGGGAAGCGCTTATTCCACTAAGCCATCTCCCCAGCCCCCTCCATACGTTTTAATACAAATGTATTCTTTAAAAGTCACCGTTTTTTTATTTTTAGAAAAAAAAATTAGTATGTTCACTAATATTTATGATTAATATTTTCCATTACTTTGGAAAAATAAAATTAGTGTGTTAAACTAGGATTGTCTGTGTTGTTTTGTTCTATTTTTTGTTTTGTTTTTTTAGTTCTGGTAAACATTTTTCAACCCAGAACCCAAAATAGGGCAGCAGAGCTACACAGACAATACAGATTTAAGTCTCTAGGCAAAAAGCAACAATCACAGGACCAAGTGAGCAGACCTCCCCATCTTATGACACTCCTAGCACAGATCCCAGCAGGGAGCTGCCTATGTCCAAACACTGCCAAGGAAGTAGAAACTCTTTTCACAATGAACCTTTATAAATAATCGCATGGCAAGGCCAATAATTTAAAACTATTCACAACGTAAGGAATTATAGCAAGTTTATGCTACAAACCACAGAACAAAATAATCCAGACTTTTCACTTGGGGGAAAAAAGTACCAATAATACTGTAATATTCTGCATCTAATATGAAATTTTCAGACTGTAAGCTGAGCCATGGTGACGAACTCTGTAGTATAAATTTACGTTACTGATCCATAAAATGACCAGGAGATACCTTAGCTCTCACAAAGTTAGCTAATAAATACCAAGCAAGAGTAGAGAACTAGCAAAAGTACAGTAGCACAAATAAAAGATTTTTACATTCAAAATTTCAAAAATTATCACATGTGTAACAGTCACACTTGATGTCATCAGGTTAATAAGATAATTATTAGCCAACTCTGTTTTAGTCACCTATGACTTAAAAAAACAATTTCATTTTAAAATTTCTTTCTGCATAAAAATAGAAAGTATATCAAAGCTTTCAAATCTCAACTACACCCCACAATGTGTGAGGTAATTTGTCAATCATATATATGTATCAGTAAAAAAAGGTAAAAATGAAACAACCGATTTTTATGCAATTTCCTTTTCTCATGGAAAAGGGCACTTAGTGTACAGTTATTAAAGCTTTCAGAAAATAAAGATCCTGTGGATTTTAAGGCAGATAGTGTGTTGTAGTATTTAATATAAAAATATACATATTTTTGACAGAGAAGACGAAATGATGGTACAAAATCTCAACATCCTGCAACCTGAAAAAATATCATTTTCCCCCGAGGCTATGAACACAATACTGATTTTATGTAGTTCTGTGTTGCCAGAAATGTAACAAATTATTAAAAGTTAAAGTATTCGTGGAAATTTCAAAAGTGGGCCCGCAGTCTTTTGTTTTCCTCTCGGAGTCTTTCTATTTCAGCCACTAAACCTTCATTCACAGAGAATCTTTGCAGCAAAGAGTGCATTTCATTCTAAAAAAAAAAAGAAGTTTTAAAATAATTGGTTTTTCACATTCACTTTGCAAGCTATGCTTTATATGTGTTCAGCTATCATTTCTCTCATGCTCAATTAGCCAGCTGACTCGTATTTCTTGTATTCAACCACAAATATCACTGGTAACATTTGGAGAATATACATTAACAGATTTGGGGGGCTTTCCATTTACTGAAGAGAAAAAAGCTCTAAAAAGAAAAAAATAGCCTTAAGTACTACAAGTTAAAAAACCAAGGTGGCCAGTTAAAATGTTTTACTTCTTAAATTTCTGAAATGTCCTATCTACTTATCTTTGCAATCAAAATGATAAAAATACAATGCCCTACAGTGGAGTGTTTTTCTATCCACAGTGCTCTATGTTCACTTAAAAGCCCATCTGCTGTACATACCAGCTGCATGTGAAACTGTTTAATCATCTCCACTTGCAAATTCACAATGTCCCGGTGGCACGCTTCTCTAGGGAAAAATGAGAAACGCTTGTCAGAAGGCTAACACTTCAACCAATCCTAGGTCATTCAAGAAACATTTCTTTTTATTATTTTAAATTATTGGACCTTAATAATTATCACAAAAATAAAAATACCAATGTACCTAGCACTCATTTACTATGTGCTAAACACTTCTTATACTTCCAATATCAGAACTCAATCCTTTTCCATTTTGCCAAATATGCCACTGAACCAGTTTTAACTTGTCCAAAGCCACCAAACCAACAAAAGGTAAAAAGCATGGAAACCCACACTGCCTACCTGTGGCACTATTACACAGTATTCCTTTGAAAAGAAATAATCATGAAAGAAGACACAGAAGGAATAGACAAAATTCATTAATTACAAACACCTGATTATCAACGTTTTAGCTGCTAAAACAATAATTCCGGTAGAAATGTGGGTGGGTACAGCACGATTTACTCAATAAAGTACAATTAATTCATGCCTCCAAAAGAACCCATGAAAATTATAAACACTGGTCACCTATCACACAACTTAGGAGCCACAACTTTTATCAAGTCAGAGAAACTGATACTCTAATTGATAGCATCGCTTAACTGTTAGACATTCAAAGAAGCCACTCTTTCCCTAATTTTCAGCAAAGAAATCCTTTCCTTAAAAACTGCAGTTGTACCCTCGTATTTAATATTTTCACTGTGCTTGTTTTGGGGCATTACAAAAGGATATAAAACACTATGCAGTTTCGAATAGGTTACTTTGGAGAGAGACACTTTCGGCTTCCTAGTCTAACTTACTGGTTTATACTGGTATACCCATTTTCCTGTCAATTGATTCCTGAATTATTTTCTAGTTCTTATTAACATGTTGTTATAAACAATACGTACATAACTCTCAACCCACAAATAATATCCAAAGATATATCAGTCATAAGCCTAGGTGTACACTTGAATGGCTTTATAAAATGATGCAAAGTGTTTTCCAAACACTTTGGTAATATTAGTAGATACGTTGATCATAAATATAACAGTTCTTCTTGCTGCATATCCTCACCAAGACCTGGTATTACCAGACTTGTTATGGTTTTCCTACCTAGCAGGTATAAAATTGTATCTTACTAAATCTTCTGTTCTCTAGTTATGGAATCGAACAGTTTTCCTCATGTCTATCTAGCATTTCTCTTCTATGCAATGTTTTTTCAAATATTTTTTGTATTCATTTTGTAAGAACTTTTTATATAATCTGATTTTGTGCTAGAGATATCACTTGTTCTTTTGTCAGTGATGCCTGGTGAAGAGCATTCTTATCAGCAACACTCAAATTACCAACCTAACACTGCAGTCAAATTTCCTCATCTACTTCTATGGGTAGTTCCTTTCTTTATCATTAATCATTTTTCTATTCTGAAATTGTAAACTCTTATCCCACCTAAAACTTTGTCTTTTACATTTAAACTTTTTAAAATGTGGAACTTATTTTTTGAATAGTATCAAACAGGGATCTACATTTATTTTTGAACAAAGAATCACATACGACGATTGATTATGCCATATTCTGCACACAGATCTACAATGTCATCTCTGTCATTTATCAAGTTTCTTTCTAGATTATTTGAGTACTGTGGCTAATCTGACCACTCAGTGCCAATGGAATACTATACTCATCTTACTTTAAAATTAAGCTTATCCATCTGGAAAATAAGTCCTCCTTCAACCTTATTTTTCTCAAAAATCTGTCATTCTTGGATCTTTTCCTTCTATAGATATTTTGAATCATTTCAACACCATCTTCCACATAACCCAGTTGGTATTCTGATTGGACTGTGAACAAACTGACATTTTCGCAATATCTTTACATTTATATAAGGGTTCATACTTTGTAATACACTAAAATTTTTTTTACAAAGTTCTTCATTTTTGGTTGAAATTATTCTCAAGTACCTTTCTTTAAAATAGCATTTCTAAAAATTCCTTCTTATCCTGTTGTAATAAAAGCTGTATTCAAAACAGACGCTGCCAGAGGGGCTGACTGCCTGCCTAGCACGCATGAGGCTTTGGGTTCTACCGCAGCAACAGTCAGTCCGTCAAGGCAGGCATCAGACAACCATCACTGTGACCAGGACTGAAAGGGCCGTGGTCTTGTAGAAGGGGAGGCTACACACGACACATCTCTACCTCCCTTTCCTCCTGCAGTATGTGCTCATTCCATAACATGGAAAACGAGGCAGCAGTGGCCTGGAGCTAGATCTAAATATTTACAGACTTCTAAAGACCAACTGAAGACTTTCATTATCGCTAAGAATCTGTCTTACTGAGGACTTTAGGGAAAGGCAGAGCAGCAGGGTTGACAGGCTCCATCCTCCACAGCACAGAGGCAGAGAGCCCATGGGTCGGGCAGAGGAGAACTAAGAACACCTGGAAAGCACTCGGGGAGAACGTGGCAGCTGTTACCACAGCTGAGGAAGGTCGGCTCAGAGTGAATCCCTCCATACTGTCCCCTTTAGGTCCACAGTGACTGCACTGCTGGTTATAACCTACACGCCTGAGGCAACAGAGATCCTGAACCAATGCACAGAAAGTCAGGAGGAGATCAGAGTGTGAAAGACTCGACCTCTAGCAACCTAAAATGCCAGCAGCTAGGCCACAATGTGCAGAGATCTCAGTCGCCCAAGCACTCGGACCTCCAGGCTGCCCAAAGGGAAGGAAGGCCCCAAGCCCACCGCCCTCGTAGCCCGTGAGGCCAGTGGTGCCAGACACCGAAGGCTCACTGAACAGGCACACACTGCCCCATGGTACCCCTGTGACTCAGGACGCCGATGACCCTCCACTGCCTAAGTCCTTCTAAGTGCCTGTCTTCATCCCTTGCCAGAGCACCTCCTCTTGAAGTATTCCTAGAATCAGCGTCACATCTATGTATGCTGTTCCCAACACTGCTATGAAAAAGAAAATGTCCAGCCGCACCTTTCTAGATCTGACACAATAAACTGCTTCCTTTTTGCATTTCCATCATCATTTTGTTCATAATATCGTTAGCTTACACAGATATTCTGCTACTGTATCATAAATATTTATGTAGTCTCAAAAACACTCATATTCTTTAAAACTGTGAACAGTATTTAAAAATAACAGGACTCAGTGAAAAAGGATTCAGGCCGATCACTCAACACCTATGCAATCACAAAAATAAATCCTAATAAAAATACTAGCACAGTTAACAACTGGTTAAGTTTAACGTAACTGTGGAATAAATATCTTAACAAAGTGATGGTCACTTAATGCAGAGATTACAGAAGAACTGGGGTAGTCAAACTGTAGACAGTATCACAAATAAGTGACTCCAACACAGAGCACACAACTGGCCCAACCTGAGGGAGAGAGGAGATGCACACGGAAGGGGTCAGTGCGTTCTGCTGTGTCGTCACACACTCTATGCTGGCTGTTCTTACAAGAATAAGTAAAATTTCTCCATTAGCCTTCCAGCACTGCCCTATTTAACAGTCTCAGGTGAACTAATTCCTATTATAAGAACACACAGCAGGAAATACTGTACCTGTCCCAATAAACTATACAGTACGGTGGGTAGACACTTATTTCTCTATATTAGTATCTTGCACACAAACTACTATATAATAAAAATACTAACATGATGCTTTCCCTTAATTTCCTTCTAATATTACAATTGTATTTTAAAAATAAACATTAAAAATAAATATGCACCAAAGAAATTACACATCTTCAATAATCTTGTTCATGATATTCTGAGTAGCTACAGGTTAGAAAGGTAAAAGAAAAAAACAGTAAAACAATTTAATTTCGAAAATATTAAACAATAAGTAAAAATCAGCAGCATTCTAAAACACATTCTCCTCTAATTCAGAGTTCAAAGGATGAGGAAGACCAGGTGAGCAGCTGCGCATGCCGTGCACGCCTACGATGTCAGCACACGGGCAGCTGAGGCAGCAGGCTCACCTCAGCGAGGCCACTTCATGGACACCCTGCAGTACAACAGTGAGTTCAAGGCCAGGCTGAATTACACTGTGAACCCCTATCTCAAAAAGCCAAAAGAAAAAAATTTAAAGAAGATTAAGAAAGATTCTTCCAGGTTAAGCGTTACTACATTCTGATGCACATCTTGAATGTATTTATGATTAGTTTTACAAATACCTTTCCCTAAATTGCACACACAGCACACTCACTAGGTGACCAACTGTTCCAAGTAAACATGTCTTTTTCTAGCTGATGGTCATGTTTTCTATGGTTTTAGGGTTACCAGAACCTAGACAAAAGTAGCCTCTACTAGCATTACTTATAGAGTTACTCTCACCCAATAAAACAACAAAACCTCAAGGTCTAGACAGAAAGAGTAATTCCTCAATTACTACCTAAAGTCATCCAGGGTCTCCTGTATCATGTTCTGAATAAAGCGGATTTGAACAGTTGTCAGTGGTGCATTTGGTCGACTATTTCCAATTGTATCAACTATTTTTTCTGAGAGGGAACTGGCTACTCCAGCAGTCACAGAAGATGCTATCTTCGGATCTAAAATAAAGAATGGAGAATTATTAATAGTCAACTTGGACATCAAATATTTCTAAGTAAGATTTGGCATGAGAAAACTTGAAAAACTGGCAAACAGCAGGGCTTCTGTGACATCGAGAAAAATTCACTGTCTAGAATACAAATTTTAGAATTTTGTTAAGACATTATTTCTAATGGTCATCTATCTATCTATATATATAAACTGTCCAGTGTCTAATGTAGTAACATATGACAGAGGGATTAATCTTAAAGAACCATTTCCTCTTATAAAAGATGAATGTGACAAGCTATACCCCAAATCAGATAAACTAAGACTATTAAAAACAAACAGAAGGGATGCAGGAGTAAAACAGCTCTTACAGGCAAAGCCCTAGACTCTCGGCTAATGTGATCCAGCTATAGAAACCTGAAAGTCAAATACAGCCAGCCATGTAAGAGTTGCTTCTCTATGAAGAGTTTCTTCATAAAGACCTTTAAACGCTATCAAGTTTTTATAGACTGTGGCATAAATTCTAAGAGTAACTTTAACATGAAGGGGAAAAAAGATTTATAATTTCAAGTTATTAATCATTTCTTTTCAAATAACCCTACAATATAATTCTATCTATACCATATTAAATCAAAATCTTATACACCAGATGGAAAATGAAACTCACACCAAAGAGGAAACAGTTAATGGAGCTGGACTTGACTATCCCATACACCTCACTGCCTTCCAGTGAGCAAGTCCCACCATAGAAATGTCCACAAACTTCCAACTCCTTCAACTCTGCCTTTAGTCTGTAATCACACCACCCGTGGCAAGTTAAGCAACAGAAGGTTCTTCAGCCCAGTCAGAACCTTCATGAACTTACTCAGAGTTGGGGACCCGTTCACCGGGGGTTCATGTATCAACTGGGCTTCAACGTCTTTCTCTGGCTTTTCAAATTTCTCAAGATTTCTTGCTTGGTTAGAGGATGGAGAGGTATTCAGATTTCCAGTTTCAGCACCAGAGGAGATCAACTTTGCAAACTTCACATTTAAAGTAAACAATTACTTAATTTATAATTTGCTTTAGCCATATTACTTCAAATGTTATGTACTTTCCATTTTGTTTTTCCCCCAGTAGATAGGACCAAGGAAATGAAGGAAGAATAGGGAAAAGACTTCAAAGAAGTACAACAGATATTAGGACTGCAGCAAAATAAGACTACTAATCAAAAACAGTCACAACAATAACATGAGGAGGAAAAGCTAATTTTCTAAGCATCTGCTGTTGAATATAATTTAAAATGCAAATCAGTGGCAAAAGAGAAATAATAAAAAACGAAAATCCCCAAGCTCTCATGTGGTAACCTAGACAGAAATATTCGAAAAATAAATCAAAAGACATTTTTGTACTTCCTGCAACATAAATTTTTCAGAATTACTCTAAAAAATAAACATGGAAATATACATTATACACCTAACAGATGTGCTCTAAAGTAGCTGATCATTCTGAACCCCTATGTAAGAAATTAAGTTCTATATTGAATACTGTAATTTTAGCACAGGATATTAATGATGAATTCTATTCAGCATCATCAAATCTGCACTGTCTTAAGAGTAAATGACTTAATTACTAACTTGATGCTTAATGATGCAAAAAATATATATTTTAAAAGAATTAAGTTATGAAATGTTCTTACACAGAGAGATCATTTTAGAAAAAAATAATCTTAAGCTTACAGTTGCTAATACACTCAATATATCCAAAGACAGATCTTTTAATTCTTCCTTAGTTATTAAAATGTCACAGCACGGGCTAGGGGTGTGACTCGGTGATGTGCCTCGTTAGCACACCTGGAACCAGGGCTTCTAACCCCAATACTCTTTCACCACAAAGAAAGGTGACATCAAGACTGCAGGGTCTTTCTCCCCTAAGTGTGTACGGGCCGGGCCAACACTCAGGACACACCCCTGGCAGCGGCCTGCTTCACAGCCGACACACACACGGGCAGCGCGGCAACACTTCCAGTGGATACCTGCTTGAAGGAGTCTTTAGGTTCCTGTTTTCCCAGATATGCTTTTCTTGACTCAGCTGTCAGATCATGATTTTCATTTTCCTCTTTCCCTGGAGATCCCAAGAAGACATTCAGAGGGCTGGAATGCAGTATTGGAGTACTTGAATTCACGGGATTTTTTCTTGGAGGAAACACTGAGCTCAACTGTGGGAGAAAGTCAAAGCCTAAAAAAGAGGAGAAGATTACACTTGCACACGCTGGCCATTTGCACGTGGGCACTAGAGCGGGCGCCTCACCTGCTGGGCCCACAACACAGCAGAAGTAGAGGTCGGAGTCTGCGGACCATGTTGTTTCTCGGTTGTACCTTTTAATTGATATGTATTCTTGGGCACATCTTTAAAATTCTCTTTTCTGATCTACAAACGTGGATGACAACATCTATTTCTTATAGTGGTAAAGTTCAAAAGAAATGTGAAAATACTTGAAAAGTAAAAAGTATGTTGACTGTGTATTAGTTTTTTTTTTTTTTTCTTTAGTATTAGTTTCTCTAACTGAGGAGCAGCAGCTTGCTTCGCAGCTGAACAGCTCTCACTGACCCCGGCCTGTCTTTCCACACCAATGTTGTATACTCTCTTCCCTATGAATGCCAGCAATACCCAGACATCTCCTTCTAACAAAGAGGAAATGGAAACAGTGGGGACGGCCTTCAATTAGGTTACAACCAGACTGCGCTTCCCCTGGTGCCTTTCTCACTCTTTGAACGCAGCTCTGGCAGATACCTTGACTGAAGCATCAAAACAGACCTGAAGCCAAAGGTGTCCAGCCAAGCAACTCTCTGATTCTTAATTCACAGAAATAATTGGGTGATAAATGTTTACCTCCCCTTTCAAGCCTCAAAATGTGCGTCCCATTTGTTACACAGCAACAGATAACACAGCATCATTTCATTGTCTTAAAAATACTTTTAAGTTGTTCTTACCATCTCCTTTGCCTACGGACTCATCACTTCCCTTGTTAACCACAACATCTACAATAAAATAAGAAAATCAAATTTTAAAATAGTGCAAAGTGGGCTGGGGAGATAGCTCAGTAGAATAAGTATCTGCCTGGCAAGCACAGGGTCCTGAGTTCAAACCCTGGTACCGCAAAAAAATAGAATAATAAATAAAATAGTGAAAAGTAAGTCACAGCAACTGAAGTTTCCTACTTTCACTGAAGAGTTCATACACTAATATT